ATGTGTCTCTTGGCTGTTTATAACCTTATATTGAGAAAGATAATTTCATATTAACAAGCTATATATTTTTTCCCTGGAATTGGTTAATTTAGTAGTAACAGTACCCAAATACTTTACACAAATGAAAGTGATTTTATTAAAGTGTTAAGATAACAAAGGAAAGGTTGTGTCCAAGATGGCATTCCCTCAGTCATTAACCTTCATTGATACTGAGGCTACAATCTATAGATTCCCCAAAACTATCTTGAAAACTTACTTGCAAGTTAGGCAAAGTTTCTCCTGTAGCAGACTAGCTGTCTGCTAGTGATCTGCAGGGTAAAGTAAATTTTTAATTTAATAACAAATAATGAAAAATTTTTTTTCATTCATTACACATCTATTCAGAGCTCAATCATTTCTCGTAATTGTCCTATCCGACTTCTTCGTGTCTTATCTGTATCACACTCCTTTTGATTCACTTATTTCTTCAGGTGTTCAAGATTCTTAGTAAAGCTTTCTTTGTCTAAGGTGACAGACCATTTCTTCAGGGTAGTCTCTGTTCCCAGCCCATACCTGGCTCCAGCTGGACTACTATAGCCTATCCAGAGGTCAGCAATGAGAACAATGAAACGCCAAGCTGGGGAGAAATGCTCCAATTCTGTGCTGCACACCCATCCTCCCCCCTCTGAGGCATCATCACAGGAGTAAAAAGCAAGCAGTCATTTCCACCAGTCATACCTTCCACAAGCCCACTCCTGCCAGCCTCCATCTCACACTCTGAAAGAGGAGCAGCTGTTGAAATGCAACAAATTACGCCAAAAGGTGCGGCATGTCCTAGCATTCAGGAAGTTTGGCACTGCTACAGCTTTTACTGCTTATGACTTTGATAAGCCACACCAGAGGTACAGATCAGCATGGATCAAAGCAGCACATAATTTAAGGGAGCATAACTTTCCTATCCCCTTTCCTCTATCAAGGAAAGTTAAGGATTTTTTAGCCTGATGTCCCAGTAAGCCAGAAGAAGTAACTTCCCCTGCATCTTTACTAACCCAGGGATAACTAATTTAGTCTTCAGAAAAATTCAGTTTCATGTAACAGGAAAAAACCTAGCCTTATGGGGGAAGAACAGCATGCAGTCCTTCAAGTAAAAACACTATTGGCAGATATTTATACAAAGGAAGTGAAACAAGACTGTACTGGAACCAAGATATATCAAGTTCAGAATTATTGTTTAAAAGTCATGTTTTCTGCATAATTCAAAGGTGGAAGAGGTGTCCGCAGGAAGAACAGAGAAAAGTCTCTACAAAAAAAAAAAAAAAAAGGGAAACCACAAATTCCAGTGTGCAGCATCATATTTACACCTCCAAGGCTACTGGCAGGGAGTGTTAGACCACAGGGCTCCGCTACAGCAATTTCTGAACTGCCTGAGCCACAATATTCATCACCTGCTCCACAGGCTGCAGCTGAAGGAGATGAAATAGATGCTTTACCAGTGAATCTCCGCAGTATTTGACAGTCAAACATCGGTCAACTTTAACTTGAGGCACTTTGCCCAGAGCTACCTTTAATGTTGCAAATTATGACTACAAAATAATATGATACATGATAGTGGTTGCAAAGGTCTAGGTAGTGGAAACTGGCTACATGCCATCAGGGAACTTCAACTTTTCTCTTATTTTATATGAGATCAAATGTAAATCAGTCTCACCTGATACACAATGTTACTGTTCCCAGATACATAAATATTGAAAAAAAAAAAAACCAACCCTAAACCCCAAACCGCTCTCTCTTGCCTCAACTTCTCAGAATCCAGCAGACATTAAATACATAACTTTACAAAACTGAAGGAAGTCTAACAGTACTGATAATCTTTTCAAGGTTCTCATTAAAATAATTTCCCCCTACATAACTAACCTGGGAGAGCAGACCTACCAAGCTTGAGAGATTCACAAGAAATAATCAAGAGAAGAAGCAGCTGTTTTAAGTAAATGCCCGGAAAACTTATTTCCTGAAGCAGGCATCAGATCCTGTGAGGTAAAGTTATGAGAGAGACCACCACCAAGAAAAACGTACCCAGCCTTTCAGGCAGCACTTCAATAGCAAATGGCTAACCTGTAAATAGCAAACATGTCTCTTCTCTTAAATTCTTCCCTTTGCACTGCTAGTCTGCCTTTACAGGAAAGATGAGGGCACAGAACAGCACGTCTTCATGGGCTTCCTTCTTTAGTGTGAAGAACAGAGGTAATAAAATTAGTCCCGGCCTTAAAAATATTTACATTACTCGAGACCAGCGCAGTCTGATGACCTTCAGAGAGAACTACTCTGGCAGGAACACGTCCTTCAGTAAATCATTCCAATAGTTATTCAATCTCAGTTTTACAAGTTTATGCCCAACTTAATCTTAGATTTGTCTGCCTGTGAAACAAGGAGTCTTGTAGCCAAAGCTGTTCCCTTTCTTGACCATGAAGAAATACTTCAGAAAGAAGTAAAAATCCTACTTTCATGACCATATATGAACAGCTGCATTGAAGAAGATCAAAGGTCCAGCTACCCAGGGTCCTGGGGCAAGCGCTGACAAAAAAGAACAGCCTAAGAGGAGGTGATCCTTCACCGGCGTTAGCCTCCCGCTTTACAACAACTACAACAGCTTCGGGCCATCCTGAACTAGAAACTACACCCGCATGGCTATGCTTAAAAGCCGTTATGCCTCTCAGCACTTCGCCAAAACTCTTTTGAGACGATTTATGGCCTCGGCCTCCACACCACCAGCAAGCAGTGGTTTTCACAACTTAAACGCACGCGATGCCAGGAGCGCTTCCTCCTTCTCCACCCCGCGCGTTACCTGGTAGCTCCATTCAGCCACCGCTTCCCTCAGCCGCGGCTCAGC